AAAAAAAAAAAAAAAAGAGAAAAGAAAAGAAAAGTAAAAATCTGCAAATTTACTAGGATATAGCAACGAGCGTGGAGAAGAAAAGGAAGTAAGATTCAATAATACTCAAGTAAGACTGCATTAATCAAAAAGAATGCTGAAGAGTGGATGAAGGGGTAAAAAGGGGAAAGTGAATAGTGAACCAAACATCAGGCAAGAGGCTGGAATAATAATAGAAATTTAATGTCCCTGTGGAGTGAAGATTGACATTCGTACCTGACTGGTTGAGTAAAGCGTCCCCAGAGCCGATGGGGAGAACCACAATCTCCATCCGCGAAGGGAGAGATGTCATTCTGTTAGCTAGACCATAAGCTGCAATTCATCTTGCACAAAGATCCTCTCTGCCAATAATATCGGACCATCGTGTCCAAGCGAAACATCTTTGTTGTTTCGTCGAATATCCCTCAAGACTATCCGTGCGGTTGTCACAAGGCTGTGGCTGACACAGCCTAAAAGAAGAGAAAGTGTCGCTCATGTTGCTAAGTAGCAGTACGATGGTGTTATCAGCCACATGTGGTCCCGACGTTGGAATACAGCCTTTAATGTAATACTGCCGTGTGTCATTACCGATTCAGCTGAATTATCAGAGAGAGTGGACTGAGAGATCATAGTACTGTACGGAGTACGTAAAAAGTTGAAACATCTCCCATACTGTGTGCATCTCCATCCATCACGGATCTGGATAATTGAGTGGAGTAAGTTTCTTGGATGAGGAAAGGGAGGCTCTTGCCACATGGAAGAACTAATGATCCGCTTCGCCTGCAGAAACCATTACGTCTTGGCATCCACCATGTCTTGTGCTTCCTTGCGTACTCCGTACGGGGAGTACTTACTACTACTAGTACTACCACTTAGTGGTGACTCCTGTGGATACCATACCTTGATACCACTTGACATTAAGGAGACAATGGATGATTGATCTGCATTCAACGTCTAGGTTTCGATCTATCTAGTCAGTTTCATCGCCTGTCCGGCGTTTTCAATCCATCAATGAATCGTCTAAGGAAGATTTACCGAGGTCCGCATTTCCCCGGATGGTAATTTGTTGTTCAGAAACCTTACATGTCCAGCCTTCCTAGCCACTTATGGAACTAGATCACCGTCGTCAGTCGCTCATACCTTGGATAAATACGGAGTAAGTAGAGTGGCGAACAGCAGTTTATCGCATTTTTAATAGTTATTGAAATGCTTTTTTGTCAAGTCTTGACGAACATCCAACGGCGTTTCATTGGATTCAACGTCTATTCTAGACCGGTAAGGGCAGAATATGTATGATGTACAGAGTAGTACTTGAGTACGATTTGACAATATAAGCGGATACTTCTTTTCGGGGGTGTTTTGTAGATCAATCTTGATTAGCATGGATCATATAGATAACTTAATACGAATCAAGCTGGGCGACAATTGTTCTTGATGCATATTCAATCTGAGCCTTACAGATTAGGCATGTTTAATGCCTCAGGCAGAAGTGGGGGAGACTTTCCCGCGGCAGGTCGCATTCAGATTGGATCCAGAAATTTACCCCTCCAGGCGATTTAATCCAAGCACTGTGCGACTCGGCGTCTTCACTTCTCACTTTGGGGTAATTGTTACATAGTCTCCATTGGCTGGACTAGGTAATTGTCACCTGTAAGTCTTTTATTTCACTCCCCCAATTTGTTTTTCTGCTCCTGATCATGGTGCACCTCATCTATACTAGTAGTGTGACTCACATGTCCAAAATAAAAACTAATTCAATATTCTCCCCGCAGTACGGTCCTCACCCACACTCATTCCTTGGATAACGAGTCAGATAGACAGCCAGTGACTATGACCACCATCTATATCGACGAAGACGTCGGTAGGGACGACTCTACCGCGACCGGATCCGAATCCGCTCCCTACAAGACGCTTGTGCACGCTTTCTTGCAGCATGCTCCTAGCGAGGGTTTTCAATATCTGACGCGCAAGTCCCAGACCGAGCCCGCTGATAAGGATGTCGACAAGCTGGAATGGAAGCCGGCCACCAAGTCGGCGATGAAGAAGGCCACCAACCTCTACGAGCAACGGAAAAAGAAGGCGGCAAAGGAACAGGAATTGGCCATCCGTGAGAAGCAAGAGGCGGAGAAGCGCCGTCTCGTCCTGGAGGAAGCGAAGAAGATCATTATCAAGGAGGACCCCTCCCTCCCTAAGCCGGTCAAAATCCGCCTTGATGTGACTGACCCGGCCGTTGTCAAGCTTGGAAGCCCGGAGTCGGAGGGTCCTGGTACTCGTGTCCGTGTGCTGGGCAGAGTTCATCGCCTTCGAGCCCAGAAGGACGTCGTTTTTCTTACCTTGACAGATGGTTATGGCTACCTCCAATGCATCCTAACGGGAGACATGGTCAAGTCCTACGATGTTCTGACTCTTACTCTCGGAACCTCCATGTCCATTCATGGTGAAATGCGTGCCGTCCCACCTAAGCAACATGCCCCCAACAACCGTGAACTTCACGCAGACTTCTTCACTATCATCGGCCGTGCCGCCGGTGACAAGGAAGCCATTACCACACGAGTCGCCCCTGATGCCGACCCCCAAACCCTCTACGACAACCGTCATCTTGTCCTTCGTGGCGAGACCGCTTCCGCTGTCATGAAGGTGCGCGCAGCAGCTCTTCGGGCATTCCGCAAATCTTTTGAGGAGAACCGCATGCTGGAAGTGACCCCTCCCGCAATGGTGCAAACGCAGGTGGAGGGTGGTAGTACCCTGTTTAAGTTCGACTACTACGGCGAGAACGCCTATCTCACTCAGTCTTCCCAACTGTACCTGGAAACCTGTCTCCCATCCTTAGGTGATGTCTTCTGTGTTTGCCCGTCATTCCGCGCCGAGAAGTCCCTTACTCGTCGCCACTTGTCAGAGTATACTCACATCGAAGCCGAACTTGACTTCATCACCTTCACCGATCTCCTGGATCACTTAGAAGCTGTGATCTGCCGTGTCATTGAACTGATCCTGGCCGAACCTGAGACCGCAGCCTTCATCAAGCAACTCAACCCCGACTTCAAGCCCCCCAGCCGTCCCTTCCGCCGCATGAAGTACTCTGATGCCATCCAATGGCTTATCGAGCACGAAATCCCCAACGAAGAAGGCAAGCCCCACCAGTTCGGTGATGACATCGCCGAGGCCGCCGAGCGCAAGATGACCGACATCATCAACCAGCCCATCTTCCTCACCCACTTCCCTGCTGAAATTAAGGCCTTCTACATGAAGAAGGACCCCGAAGACCGCCGTGTCACCGAGAGTGTCGACGTCCTCATGCCCGGTGTCGGTGAGATTGTCGGTGGCAGTATGAGAATGGACGACTGGGACGAGCTCATGAGCGCCTATAAGCATGAGGGCATGGACCCCTCCCCCTACTACTGGTACACTGACCAGCGCAAGTATGTTCCCTTCCATGCGTTAATACCTCACATAACAAATACTAACTTCTTTGTTAAAGGTACGGTACCTCCCCCCACGGTGGATATGGGCTTGGTCTCGAGCGATTCCTCGCCTGGCTATGCGCCCGTTACACTGTCAGGGATTGCAGCTTGTATCCTCGCTTCACTGGCCGTTGCACACCTTAAAATATCCAATACATTAGATGAGTCCCATAGATGTCAACATCTCAATGCAGACCCAGTTCCTCTATTTACTTAAATACCCAGTAGTTCCTGGGTAGGAAATCTTTTTGATGAGATGTAATGACCATAACCACAATTCGAGAAAAAAAAAAAAGCAATAGTTCTATAAAAACAAAGATCACCAGTAGTTGATTCATATAAGGGAAACCAAGCAATACCAGCAGGTAAGAAGATTTGTGATTGAAACTAGACCATGATTATTCCGATAAGTCAACGGCCGTCACATGGATTATTCTACCATATCACACGCGTTATAACTACTCAACGCTTATAACTTTCAATCTGATCCAGCTCAATCTCCCTTTTCTCCCTCCCTTCAACAAGAACAGCCACTTGCGTCGTCCCCCGGGTCTCGCTCTTCGTCTGAACCAGCGCAATTCGCCCCTTCCTCTGTCCCTGGGACTGACCCAGAGGAGGCTCTCCTCCCTCCCCCGGAGCGGCCATCGATTCATCGAGCACCCTCCACCCAACCATTTGCATGGGCTCCGAATTGGCACCAGCAGGCTTCACTCTACTCTCTCGAAACTGAGCTGTAACCCCGTGAACCCAATTTATCTTCAATCTATTGTGGGAAGGTAAGTACCAAGGGGCGATGCAGAGCAGAGAAACAGGCGCAGATGATACCCAGGTTTAATTCGAGAGTGGTCCACATTGAAGACCCGATACTGTTCCAGGTTATGCCTAGGTAGGTGATTGCGGTGTCTAGGGTTGTGATGGGGGGGGCGCGAGGAAGGAGGTTATGCAGACGCTGAGTAGTGAAGAGAAAGAACCTTCTAAGAGAACTCAGCGCTCGTGATATCAACGAAGGAGCAAGAATGGACCGACTCGATGGTGCTGCGTGGAGACGAATCATATCTGATTAGAAGATCTATGTGGGTAGCCTTATCAATCTGGATATCACAGTTTCCGGGTACAGTACGCAGCAGCCTTATACGTGCCCTCCATTGTGATCTCGCTGGGCTATAGTGGTATCGAGAGCCAAGTCCATAGTATCCCAATCTGGCCGGTTGCTGCCGTTGTCACGATGATGGGACCTTTCCTTACAGATCGCTGGCAACATCGCTATAGTTTTGTGATATTCGGTGTCGTATTTGCGAGCATTGGATACATCATATTATTGTGCCAGGGCGCTCTATCTGGGAGGTTAAATGTGCATGTCCGCCACAAGGCAGTGTTCTTCGTGACCGCAGGATGCTATATTGTTCAGCCCGTTGCGATCATGTGGATGGCGAACAACCTCGATGGGCATTATAAGCGCGCTGTTGGCCTTGCCATTCAAATCGGATTGGAGAACATTGCCGGCATTATAACGAGCAACATCTTCAACAGGGGTGACGCTCCTCCGTACACTGTTGGGTATGGAGTCTCATTGGCCAGGATGGTGTTTTGTGGGATTATGAGTATAATTCTCGCCGCCGGCCTGTTGATTGAGAATTAAAAAGAGGGACTAGAGAAAGCGTGATGATAGATTACAACTGGGTGATGGCGATCCTCGATTCCGCTTCAGCCTGTGACTGAGGAGGAACTTGAAGTCCCGGTCAGGCATATACTCTCTCAGAAGCAGAATCATGATGATATATCCGTTTGTTGTTCTCGAAAGCCTTAGGAGCGAAATCTCTTCTCAAGTAGATAACCTTAATGCACTCTTGCATGGCTCACACTAACTGTGCTAGGATGAGTACCTCCATCAGGGTGAAATATTGATCAAAGCTTGAGTGGCCCTACAAACCCAAGTGAAGAAGACTACAGAAACGCCCGATACTCAACTATAGTGGTTCTCACTTGTTATGCCGGACAGAAGGCAATAAGGAAAAGAATAGGTGCAGATGAATGTGCAAGGTTAAAGTCCCAGTGCTTTTTGAGTATTCATAAAGCCATCAGCCTCATACGGGTGTGGCGTCCCTTCGCCTTCCAGCAACAAACCTCCTCCATTACTACAAACTACGACAGCGAAGTGACGATAGTAACGATAATCATCATTCTAGCCACTTAAGGTTGCTGCTGCAAATACATCGACCCTCCTCTTACGTTTAATAACAAGGTGATATCATAATAACACCAGCAATCATTTGAACATGCGTTTATATGGCCAGTCGTCCAACTCGCCACCCTATTTTTGAACAATGGGCCAAATGAGATTCGGAGCTTCGTGCCGAAGCAAAATTCCAAGGAACCTTCAAAAACAAAGACACAATCAGCCTGATTAGTTCTGTATGGCCTATGGAGGATTTCTTCCTGACTTAGCAGGAAATCTCTCATTATCCGACCTGGATATGGTACTCGGCAACACATATACACCATGATCTGAGTGGGATTAAAATCTCTCGTAGCTGACATGCTGCGGCTACGTACACTTAGTATACTCACCGATGCCTGCATCATGCACCCACGAGATGGCCAGTCATGGCAGGGAGCAGCGATGATTGAGCCATCCGTGTCCAGGCATATAAATTCAATGAAATGAAGCGACGCCGGGCTGATTACTATACATGGTGAAAGGATCTGCATAGCAATGTGGAAAATACCAATTAAACATGGTAAACGGTCAGCTGAACCAGGAAATGGGAAAGTATTTGGGACATTCTCCACTTCCAACTGGACACCTAATACGGGACTAGGGAGTGAAGAAGCAGGCAAGTCAACTAAGCGGCATATCCACCTCAGGGCCATGTGCATGACGCTATCCGGAGGTTGACTTCAGCATCTTATCACTATGTATTCATCCAAGGCAGTCTTTCAATCCAAACAGCCGAGACAACGACGTCACAAGATGATGATAGCAGAGACGAGCAAGGTGTAGAGTCATTGCAATGTAAGAGCTTTCACCATGCTTGTTTTGACTATTAGGATCCTGTGAAACCATTATCCCTGAAGTGGTTGTTTCCATTCTGCATTTGAGAAACCGCCGCGAGGATCTCTCGTTGAGAGGCACCAGAACGGATGATAGTGACTAATCGAGCTACCGTCTCTTGATCCTCATTGCAAACCAAATCCAGAAGTTGTTCGAGAAAACTTCTGTAGTAATCCGAATCCTCGGCATATATAGTATGGAGTAGGGGATCTGTGTTTGGAGTCGCGTAACCAGAGACTTGAGCACTATCACTGCTTTGGTTGTTAGAGATGTGGCTGTTCGAGCTGTGGTTGTTCGAGCTGTGGTTGT